CAGTTGCATAAATACATGCATATTGCCAAGTGTCTGAATTCTGATCACGTGACCATGGGGGACGCTGCAACCGTCGTAAGTGTGAAAAATGGTCATAAATCATTTTTTTCAGGGCTGTTGTAACTGTGAAGAGTTGCTAAATCAATGTAAGTGAGGACTACCTATATAACCTGGCCCTCTATTTGAATAAAAGAGTTCAGGTGAGATCTATATATGTGAGTGTGATGACCCAGGGCACAGCACAGAGGCAATGCAATCAGTTGGTAATTCAAACCGCCCTTTAATTGCTTCAAATTTTCCCCAAATGCTCCCACATTTCTGGCAAGTCTCCAAACAAAGGAAGACACACACCCCTTCAGCCGCCTCTGGCTGCAAGTAGTTTCACATACAGTCTGATTAGGAGAGGAATTTACTCAAGGCCACGGATATAAGAAGGAATGACACATACATTATAAACCTAATGAGTCTGTTTGAATGCACGCTTGCCTGAGCAGTTTCCAAAAGGCAAGCCAAAATACAGTCCGAGATCTTTGAACATCCAAGCAACGTTGTCAGCCAGTCCAATGGTCAGAGTTTCCAGGTTTCCAAGCAGAAGTCACAGAACAAGAGATCAGCAGCAACACACACAAAACTCCAAGGAATCAGTGTTTGTTCCCGACAAATGCCTCTCCCCACAGCGTCTCCTTAAATCTCAGTCTCCAGGTGTGCCTTGTAGAGAGGGGTGGGATGCTCTCCTCCCGGGTAATTGAGCCTGCCTGCGTTGTTCCCTCCTTCTCTCCACTCTCCGTGCTCTAGGATCAGGTGGGGGTGGCCCTTGCTCATTGCCTGAACTCTGCCTCCCCTTTTCCTCCTGTCCCAATCCTGAAGGGCCCTGGCCTGCCTCGGCCTGCTTTTCCCCACATTCCTCTGGAGCCACAGACCCCTCTCCCTTGACCTCCATAGGGTCCCGTCCCAGCTCATTTTCCTCTGCAGATTCAGGCTCTGATGGAGGCATGACAGTGGGTCTGATTGGGGTAAATTATAGTGTCACTCAGGAACTTGATATTATCCTATTGCTGTGGTGGCGAACCTATGGCACACGTGCCACAGGTGGCACACAGAGCCCTCTCTGTGGGCACGTGTGCCATCGCCCCTTTTTGCTTTAGGCCTCCACTGCCATGTGCAAAAAAAAGGTTCAATCAATCAATCAATCAATTTCAACTTCTCGCAGGAAAAACAAAGATCTTGCAAAGTTGGAATTGATTGATTGAACTTTTTAGTCCCACCCAGTCTGCTGTTACCACCGCAGCCATGCCCACCCAATGGGCCCCTCCCACCCAATTGGCCACACCCACCAATGGGCCATGCCTACCTGGCAGCCGATGATACATAAGTGGGTTTTGGGTTGCAGTTTGGGCACTCGGTCTCTAAAAGGTTCGCCGTCACTGTCCTATTGTATTTTTTTCATTTAATCTGTTTCTTGCATTCCATTTTTATATATGCTTCTATTGCGCAATGTCACATCTTTTATTCTGTATTTTGATATGGCCTACATGCCGATCAGAAACATTATAGATATTATTTCAAAGAACGTTCTCTGACTTTGAACCCATTTGGAGAAAGGTGTTTTTTTTTCTTTTTTCTTTTTTGGGGCAACCTTTCCATTTAACGCATCAAAAATATTCCAATTAGAGGTGTGTGCTGAGCCCTGACTGCTTTAAGGCCAGTATAATGGAAATATTAATTACCTGGTAATTTGTAGCCCTTAAGCTCTGGAAAAAAGAAAATCTTTGGGGTTTAATGAAAAATATCAGCGGGAGAACTCTCCCCCATTTTTCATGATACAATCAGGAGCCTCATGGCTGCTCTTTTTCTCTCATTAAAAAATCCAACAGTTCTAAAATGGAAAGCTGCAACAATTCTCACAAATGAAATGGATCGAAAAAAAAAAAACAAAGAACGGATGCAATCACCAGAGATGGCCAAATGGACTGCTTTTTAACAATTATAGAAAAAAATATATCCCATTTTTTTTTTCTATTTGGAAAAAATGTCTAAACTTTTGTGCTCGAGGCAGAGAAAAAAAAATGAGATTCTGATTTTGGGATTTTCTAGTAAGTTGGTTATTATGGTACAGGGGTCTTCAAACTTGGCCCTTTTATGACTTGTGGACTTCAGCTCCCAGAATTCCTCAGCCAGGCAGGAGAACCACAAAAGTATTTTCAGGTGCAAGCTAGCTTTTTATAGGTTCCATATTCTCAGTGTGGCTTATCTAACAAAATGATTTTTAAAACCTACATTTATTGGTTCACAGATATTGGTACTACCTGAATCTGAAGTCATGTCCTTTTAACTTGAATAGTGTTCTGTTTCTCCTCAGTATTCATTCTTCTTGTGGGCCATTTTTGATTCCCTAAAAAGTGAAAGTCTCTTCCCCCCCCCCAACATTCATGCCAAACAAATACAACATAGAATAATGGGTTTGGAAGGGACCTTGGAGGTCTTCTAGTCCAACCCCCTGCTTAAGCAGGAGACCCTATACCAGGAGTAGGCAACCTTGGCTCTTTTATGACTCGTGGACTTCAACTCCCAGAATTCCTGAGCCAGCCATGCTGAGGAGAAAGGGAGAGATTTCCAAGCTGAGCCATGCTGGCTCAGGAATTCTGGGAGTTGAAGTCCATGAGTTATAAAGCGGCCTAGGCTTAGGCCAGAGGTAGGCAACCTTGGCTCTTTTACGACTCGTGGACTTCAACTCCCAGAATTCCTGAGCCAGCATGGCTCAGCTTGGAAACCTCTCCCTTTCCCCTCAGCATGGCTGGCTCAGGAATTCTGGGAGTTGAAGTCCATGAGTCATAAAAGGGCCAAGGTTGCCTACCCCTGCCCTATACTATTCTGGTCAAATGGCTATCCAGTCTCTTCTTGAAAACCTAGAACAGGGGTCTCCAAACTTGACAACTTTAAGACTTGTGGACTTCAATTCTCAGAATGCCTTACCCAGCATGCTGGCTGGGGGATTCTGGGAATTGCAGTCCACAAGACTTAAAGTTGCCAAGTTTGGAGACCCCTGACCTAGGATCAAAATCAATCATGTCACAATCTGAGACTGAACAAGAGCACTGGGAGGACTGGCTTCTATTTGGACAACCATTTGTCTGAAGTGGCATAGGGTTTCCTGCCTGAGCAGGGGGTTGGGCTAGAAGACCTCCAAGGTCCCTTCCAACTCTGTTTTCCTCTTATTTAGAAGATTATTGATAGAATTGGCTGAATACTGGAAGGCTGAGTGTTGAAAAATTGACGCTTTCGAATTGTGATGCTGGAGGAGACTCTTCAGAGTCCCTTGGACTGAAAGGACTTCCAATCAGTCAATCCTAATGGAAGTCAACCTTGGCTGTTCTTTGGAAGGACAGATCCTGTCTTAATCTTCCTGCTCCAGTAAGACTAAGTCTGAAGTATAGACACGCCTATGCTGTGTCCTCACACCCCAGTTTGAGACTAAGGCAATACACAGACGTTAGTCCGCCGCATGTGCTTTCCTATCATCGGAACCAGGGTCAAACTGACCCTAGCTGGGAGGGAGTGGATTCTCCATCATCATGCTGAGAAAAGGCGTTCAGGTAAGACAGCGCCCTTTCTCCAGCATGATTGGATGGAGAATCCACAAATGGGACATACCTTGTGTCCCTAAGGGAGGGAATGAGTTTGGGCCTGTGTCCCGCTATAAGGCAACACGTACTGTAAGACTCTGCGACCAAATGAGGCATCTGAAGAGGCATATTTGTCAATCTTGTAGTGACGGACAAAGGATGAGGGGGAAGACCATGTAGCCGCCCTGCAAATTTCCCCTATAGATGCCTGGGTCACCCAAGCCGCGGATGTAGCGGCACCCCTGGTGGAATGGGCCGTGATATGTCCAGGGGCAGTTAGTGATTTGGTGATTTGGCCACCAAATGAGAAGAGACGACTCATTGGGAACCCCTCCCCCCACTGATATTGGGAAAGATTGAAGGTAACAGGAGAAGGTGACAGTGGAGGATGAGATGGTTAGATAGTGTCATTGATGCAATGAACATGAATTTGGGGGAACTCCTGGAGGACAGGGGGGCTGGTGTACTATGGTCTATGGCAGTGTTCCCCAACTTTTCGGGGTCGGCAGCCCGGAGCAGGGGGAGAGGGGGAAAAGAAGGGATGGTTTTGTGTGTGTGTGGGTGAATGTATGCATGCACACGAACACCCATTGCTTGCGCAAGTGGGGCTGCAAACACCCACAACGCTTGTGGTGATGCTTGCGCACATGGGGCCACAAACGCCTGCAATGCTCACGTGAGTGGGGCATACGCCCCACAGACCAACTACTCATGCGGTCTGGTGGCCAATAGACCATGGCCTGGTAGGGTCCATGGCCCACAGATTGGGAAACCCTGGTCTATGGGGTCACGAAGAATCAGACATAACTTAAGTGTAGTAAAAATCTTAACCAGTAAGAATGTTTTGAATATTGTGGGGAAAACAAATTTAAATAAAAGAATTTCAAACAGGATCTATGCTAAGGCAATCAAGATGATCAGTTAGAAAAAAAGCTTTATTTCCATGTGGCTATTATTTGCAGAAATATTTGAAAAATGCCTATATTTAATTACTATTTATCCAAATAATAAGAATTGTATTAATTCAAGGTTGGCCTTGAGGAAGAGAACGTCAAGCAAAGCTGTTAGGTGGACTATAGAATTATAGAAACGAATTGTTATTGTTTTTTAAAATATAAACCCGGACAACAGGATGTTTAACAAATATTAAGGTGATTATGTTAAAAAAAATTAATAAAACATATTTAAAAAAAGAATTGGACGTAACAGTGACTGAACAAGAACAACTAAATAAAGACCAAAGACAATCAATGCAGCTTACCAACCCATTCAACTGAATTTCTCTCCACTTTTCTGCCTGGTTACGTTGGAAAGGAAAATCTTTCTTTTTATCAGAGAGAATTAAAGTGAGTAGAGGATGAATATAAAAACCCATACCTCTCTGAAGTCCATGTGTACATGTGAACAGGAGCAGCAGGAGGCTTACAACCTCAGCCTTCATCTTAGTTCCCTAACAATCACACTGGATCGTCACGCATGTAAGGTGTGCTTTCTATGGCTGGAATTGCAAGTGGGGCTGACAAACAAACCCTTGTGTTTATATCTTGCTTCCCTTTATATTTTTTTGACCAATGATTAATTGCCGCCCAAAGGTCAGAGAGCAGATACCCTTGACCTGGCTGAGATGAAGGCAAGGTCCAGAGATAGGCAAACACATGGGAGAAGAAGAGGATTTGACCCCAAACGATGTTTAGACTTAAACATTAACTCAGCAGTCTTAACCCTGTTAATACCACTTTATAATGCCTTGGTATTATGACCACACTTGGAATCCTGCATCCAGTTTACGTCGCCATGATATAAAAAAGATGTTGAGACTCTAGAACAGTGGTTCTCAACCTTTTTAATGCCGCGACCTCAACCAGTTGTAAGTCGAGGACTACCCAACCAGTCATAAGTCGAGGATTACTCAACCGGTCGTACGTCAAGGACTTTCCCTGCCCGGGAGCGCCGCGCATGAGTGGTGCCACCCACTGCGCCGGCCGAGGCGTAGCTGGCAAGCGGCAGAGATGGCGCAGGCTGACCACTGGCTGGGCCACTAACTGGCCCAGCCCAAGGGAGGTAAGGCACCCGCTGGGCCCCAAGCATGCCAGCAACCCTCCCTGCGCCCACCGGCCTCCCACCTCCCACCCCTGGCCCTCTTTTACTTACATTTTTAGTAGTTGCTCAGCAGGGAGGGGTGGAAACTTCCAGACAGCTCGCCTTCGCTGCAGACAACTTGCAGCATCGTTTGCAGAATGGGACTTTTGGGGGGCTCAGCAGGGCAGAGAGAGCCTGGACAATTCCTATTGGCTTTTGAAAGCCAATAGAATTAGACTCTATTCAAGAGAGTCTATTCTATTGGCTTTCAAAAGCCAATAGAATAAAAGGGAGTAGCACAGTTAAGGAAAAGGGGGAAAAAATGGCGGACTGCGTTGTTTGGCGACCCCCGTGAAATGGTCGTTCGACCCCAAATGGGGTCCCGACCCACAGGTTGAGAACCACTGCTCTAGAAAGAATGTAGAGAAGAGCAACAAAGATGATTAGGGGAATGAAGGCTAAAACATGTGAAGAACGGTTACAGGAATTGGGTATGTCTAGTTTAATGAAAAGAAGGATTGGGGAGGACATGAGGGCAGTTTTCCAATATTTGAGGGGTTACTACAAAGAAGAGGGGGAGGTCAATCTATTCTCCAAATCACCTGAAGGCAACACAAGAAACAATGGATGGAAACTGATCAAAGAGAGAAGCAACCTGGAATTAAGGAGAAACCTCCTAACAATGAGAACAATTAATCAATGGAACTGCTTCCCTTCAGAAGTTGTGGGTGCTCCAACACTGGAGGTTTTTAAGAAGAGACTGGACAGCTACTTGTCTGGAATGGTATAGAATTTCCTGCCTGAGCAGGAGGTTGAACTAGCTCAGTGGTTCTCAACCTTTTTAATGCCGCGACCCTCAACCGGTCGTAAGTCGAGGACTATTCAACCGGTCGTAAGCCGAGGACTACTCAACGGGTGCAGCACCGTTTGCAGAATGGGACTTTTGGCGGGCTCAGCAGGGCAGAGACAGCCTGGACAATTCCTATTGGCTTTTGAAAGCCAATAGAATTAGACTCTATTCAAGAGAGTCTATTCTATTGGCTTTCAAAAGCCAATAGAATAAAAGGGAGTAGCACAGTTAAGGAAAAGGAGGAAAAAATGGCGGACTGCGTTGTTTGGCGACCCCCGTGAAATGGTCATTCGACAAATGGGGTCCCGACCCACAGGTTGAGAACTACTGAACTAGAAGATCTGCAAGGTCCCTTCCAACTCTGTTATTGTGTTAACCCCTCATGGCTTGAAATACGAAATGATCCATGCTGAAGAAGCATCTTCTCTCTCTTACAGGACCAGGTTTCAGATCTGGTCTAATGGTTTCTTCAAGAAAGAGATTTTACGTCTTCCTTGGCCAGTTGTTCACATATTTCAGTGGTGGCGAACCTATGGCACGGGTGCCAGAGGCGGCACTCAGAGCCCTCTCTGTGGGCACGCGCACCGTCGCCTCAGTCCTAGGCCTTCAGCTGCATTTTATAAAACCTTTTCGCTTTAGGCCTCCGCCGCCGTGTGCAAAAAAAAAAAAAAAAGTTCAATCAATCAGTCAATTTCAACTTCTCGTGGGAAAAAAAAGATCTTGCAAAGTTGGAATTGATTGATTGAACTTTTTAGTCCCACCCAGTCTGCCGTTACCACTGCAGCCATGCCCACCCAATGGGCCACATTCACCCAATTGGCCACATACAGCCAATGGGCCACACCCACCTGGCACTCAACAATGCATAAGTGGGTTTTGGGTTGCAGTTTGGGCGCTCAGTCTCTAAAAGGTTTGCCGTCACTGACATATTTGAATCCCATCACTGCACAAGCCCCAATTCCAGGGGTAGGCAACCTTGGCTCTTTTATGACTCGTGGACTTCAACTCCCAGAATTCCTGAGCCAGCCATACTGAGGGGAAAGGGAGAGGTTTCCAAGCTGAGCCATGCTGGCTCAGGAATTCTGGGAGTTGAAGTCCATGAGTCATAAAAGAGCCAGGTTGCCTACCTCTGGCCTAGGCCTAGGCCGCTTTATGACTGGTGGACTTCAACTCCAGAATTCCTGAGCCAGCATGGCTCAGCTTGGAAACCTCTCCCTTTCCCCTCACCATGGCTGGCTCAGGAATTCTGGGAGTTGAAGTCCACGAGTCATAAAAGAGCCAAGGTTACCTACCCCTAGGCCATATCATGTGACAGGATTACTTCCCTTCTATCTTGGCAGAAAAGTTTGGGCAGATCCTCATGCAACCCCTCCCACATCCAGACAGATTTTATCCAGCCTTCTTTAATCACCTTCATTAGTAGCTAAGTGGAAGGTCAGGAAGAAATATATTCCTGCTAGCTGGAAAAAAAATCAACTGTTGAGCCAGTGGAGACCTTTTTATTCGACCTTCCCATTTTCTCAAATACCTCCTGCTTCAATTAAATCACCTTTTAAACTTTTGAATCAACTCAAAAGGAAGGTTATTAGAGCTTTTCATAGCTAACTTTTTCTCTGCTATTAAAATGATTGTTGTTTATCTTTTGAGATGTTTCCAAGGTCAATGTTCTTTTCCAAGTAATGAAATAAAGTAAAATAAAAAAATAAAGTGAAGTAAAATTAAAGTAAAACAATAAAATAAAATAAAGCAAAATAAAGTGAAGAAAACTAAAATAAGGTAAAATAATAACATGAAATAATATAAAGCGAAGCAAAGTAAAACAATAAAATAAAGTAAAATAAAGTGAAGTAAAGTAAAATGAAATAAAAAATAAAAAAGAACTGGAAACATACCTGAGATGTATAGAATAGAATAACAGAGTTGGAAGGGACCTTGGAGGTCATCTAGTCCAACCCCCTGCTCTGGCAGGAAACCCTATACCATTTCAGACAAATGGTTGTCCAATCTCTTCTTAAAAACTTCCAATGTTGGAGCATTCACAACTTCTGGAGGCAGGTTGTTCCACTGGTTAATTGTTCTCACTGTCAGGAAATTTCTCCTTAGTTCCAGGTTGCTTCTCTCCTTGACTAGTTTCCATCCGTTGCTTCTTGTCCTGCCTTCAGGAGTTTTGGAGAACAGCTTGACTCCCTTTTCTTTGTGGCAATCCCTGAGATATTGAAACACTGCTATCATGTCATCCCAGTCCATCTTTTCATTAAACTAGACATACCCAATTGCAGCAACCGTTCTTTATATGTTTTAGCCCCCAGTCCCCTAACCATCTTTGTTGCTCTTCTCTACCCTCTTTCTACAACAGTGGTTCTCAACCTTTTTAATGCCGCAACCCCCAACTGGTCGTAAGTTGAGGATTACTCAACTGGTCGTAAGTCGAGGACTACCGTTTGCAGAATGGGACTTTTGGCAGGCTCAGCAGGGCAGAGACAGCCTGCACAATTCCTATTTGCTTTTGAAAATCAATAGAATTAGACTCTATTCAAGAGAGTCTATTCTATTGGCTTTCAAAAGCCAATAGAATAAAAGGGAGTAGCACAGCTAAGGAAAAGGGGGAAAAAATGGTGGACTGCGTTGTATGGCGACCCCCGTGAAATGGTCGTTCGACCCCAAATGGGGTCCCGACCCATGAGAACCACTGTTCTAAAACATCTCAACATCTTTTTTACATTGTAGTGTCCAACACTGGATGCCGTATTCCAAGTGTGGCCTTACCAAGTAAACCATGCAAATGTGACCAAGATAATTTCTTTCTACTCAGAGAGAACAAGAAGGTACATTCAAAAACTTGCTTCGGATTTTAACCTGGATAATTCTCTGAAAATTTCTGTAATTGATCGATCAAGACACAAAAGGAACCAGTACGTTCTCCCGGGCAGCAAATAAATCTCAGACATAGGAAAGCTGGACTTTGACAGGGTGGATGATAAATAATTTTCTGTTTAGGAGGGGAATGTGGCACTTTTGCACAATTTCAAAGGAAGCGCAAGTTGGGCAAGACATTGTAAGGTTTATAAAGAAGAATATTTGTAGTCCAAGGTTGAAATGTGGGGTCCTTGGTGCTGAGCTTGGATATTTTCTTGCAGAGGTTTCATTCCCAAACTAGGTGGCACTGATGATGTGATCTAGTTTGGGTAATGAAACATCTGCAAGAAAACAACCAAGCCTGGAGGGTATCAAGGACCCCTCTTTGTAAGACTTGGGTAAAGTTTTTGTGCTGGATTGAAATTCTTCACACTCTTTTAACTCTCCCCATTTGAGAATTGGAGGTGAATTAAAGGGAAGCTAGCAGCAATCTTATGTTTTGCTTGAGTTCATAGGATGGGGCAAGGTGGACACATAATCTCAGAGTGGGTGTTTGAAGGCTTAACCCAGTGGTGGCGAACCTATGGCACGGGTGCCAGAGGCTGCACGCAGAGCCCTCTCTGTGGGTATGCACCGTTGCCCCAGCACATGTGGTCTCTAAAAGTTCGCCATCACTGGCCTAAGGCCAGCCAGCCTGGAGCCGCCATTGGGGAGCCCACCATCCCACCC